GGAAGTTGCTTGACGTCCTCCCAGATCACAGTCTTCACATGTTTACAATCTATCGTTTTGTCGTGTGCTCGTTTTAGGGTATCACCGGGTATCGTACGCTGAACTGCCTATTAAAGCCCCTTGAGGCAAATTTGTGATATGTGATATTGGGCTGTAAAAATAAAATTTGACTTTACTTGACTTTGACTTAAAGAGAACTGCTCTGGCCATCGATTTATCTGGGTTTTACAGCCGCAGTCCACAGCTCTGTGGGGAAACACACACGCACTCTCTCCAGTGCCAGCCACAAATCCGTAATCGTTCGCTTTTCACTCAGCGCTCACGGCTGAGGGACTGGAGGGCCGAGTCGGCAGTCAGTGCTACAGCCTTCAAACGGCGCACCACGTCCCGATGAACCACATAAGTAGGCCAGGAGACTTAGATCTGAGAGATTCTTCTTTTCTGTTCAAGTCTGTGGTGATGCTGCGCTGCAATTACCACTAATCAGCTGCCAATTAAAGGCAGTCCGTGTCATTTCCCTGTGATAAGTCGTTAATGATGTCGGAGCTTCTGAAGGTGGTCCTCCTGCCTTATCCAAGGCTGCCGCTGCTGCCCAGGCCCAATATGTCCAACGAATGTATTATATATCTACTGATGATCAAAAGTATCAGAACAAACATTTATTTTAAAAAGATTAAAAACTTTTTTTTATCTTTATTTTATCTTGACATTACTTTATTAAAACAGTGATACATCTACTAACTAAAAAGGCCTGTGGTTTTGAAAACAGCTCATGTAGAGATGCAGAGTCAGCGAAGTTTGCTTCAATTTCACTACGACTGAGGTCACAATACACAGCAAATACGTACACAAACATTACAGGACGTTACTGTAGGTCCATCAGTTTGAATTTACATTTTATTTAACTGGGGGTGAATGATAAAAAAAATGAAATCTTTTGCTCGGTCTTGCACCAAACAAGCGTGCTCCTTTACGTCTGGAGAAAATGATTTGTAGGCCGGGGCAGCTCTGTAGCACCACAATGCTTCATTTATTGTCTGTTGTGACACGTTCCACCTTTATCTTAAAATTGCAGCTCCTCCGATTTGGATCTTGCACTTGGCCATATTGCGATTTTGATTATATTTTGATTTATTGTGCAACCCTAATTCATATTGTAGTTGGGTCCGTGTGGGAACCCACTTCTCTACAGTTTTGGGCCTATAGTGTTTAATGTTAAAAGTGATCTTCAAAATACAAGAAGACACTGAAGCGTCAATTGTGTGCTTTCAATAAGCCATCTAGCATCTTAATTCAAGAGGTTATACATTTCAGATTTAATACATCAGAAAGGATAGACCATAAATAACTCTGCTGTATTAAGAGCTCTTCATTGAACAGTAATGGAAACTTTGGGGAAACCATTACCTTCTATATTAGATTAAATATCCTTCTCATTTCTGCACTAATTTCTACACTAACTAGTGTTTTTCCAACAATATTGATGAACAAACCTCACGGAAAGTGAACTGTATCTTTGTACCGCGGCCCATTAACCACAACAGCCGGCTTATTTTAACAGCTCTGGGCCAACAATACCTCATGATGTGACAGGTGAACAGGATTGGAACAGTTAATAGTCAAATTCATTCCATTCATTCTCTTTTATTGCCCTAAAGTACTCTCTATCTACAGACAAAGGTTTAATGGCCACTAATGTCTGGGTGGTGTAATTAGCAGAATACCAAAAGAGCACAGAGCTCTGAACTAATGCAAGTGGTGCTCTGACTGTGCTCTGTACAGTCAATGAACTATGTATTTTGGGGGCACAGAAACAATGTTCATGTCTGTTTCTGGGAGAACAAAGAGCCCGAGTGACGTGACTGGTCCACAGAGAAACAAAAGCTCCCTGCTCCATCTGACCACTTTCGCTGATTTCCAACAAAAACACACAAAAAGCTCAGAGCCGAACTCTCCACAGGAAACATGACCAGCAACCAGCAGTGCAGATGAAGAATAACAAGACGCTGATATTGAGATTCAGGTGTAGTAAAAACTTTTTTTTTTTAATTTTCAACACTCATAATTACCATCACTTCAAGCATCAAGCGAAATAAATCGGATTATTTAGGCAGTTGTTGTTTGGGATGCTGTGATTTGCCGGTGATAATTGATGAGCCAAGTACGCAGCTGCATCGTGTCCCATATTGTATAAAGGTCTCTGTCCATGTGATGTTTGATTATAGATCAGGTCTAGCTTCTATATTAATACTGTGAAAGTATCAAAGCCTCAGTCCACAGAGAAATGCACACAGCCTGTATTCAGAAACTGAGCCTTAAAACCAGCCGTCAGGCCTTCCTGTAAGTTTGTGATGTCTCAAAAAAGCAGTCACCGCCCCCGGCCACGCCCCAAGCCCCGCCCACCTGGACCCACCATCCAAACCTTGCAGGATTTGGTTTCTCTGAGTGTTTTACCTGAAATTTTCTATATTTTTATATCAGAAGAAGAGTCTCAGAGCCTCCTCTCTTCTGATTGGCTCACCGACCTGTTGTTGCTAGAGCTGCAGAGAGAAGCCTGAGAGAGGAGATGTAAAACTACACTGAGACGGTTTTTGGTTCTCAAAACCACAAATATATCTTCTCATGGATCAACACCTCAAATAAAACACAGGAGAAGAAGAAAATATGGGAAGAATGATCCAACAGAATTGATCTGATATCTTTCCCTGTTATAGCACCAGATAACATTTACCTCTAGTTTCTGTTTCTCCTCATGTCTCGAGTCTACGTGTTTGTCCTTCCACTCAAGGTGAGCATGTTTTGGACCACATTGTCACTCACAGCAAAAAAACAACGTTTTTCCTTCGACCCATCAAGACTGTCAACTAACAGAAAGCAGCTGCTTAAGAATTGTAAGAGTGGGCCCGATGTGGGTTTCCGAATAAATGCGGAGAACTGAACAAAAATGTGGCAACAGTTCTGCACAGTCAAAATCAATAACTGAAATCTCTGCATATATTATATCTTTTTTGTTAAAAGGAAGGGGAACAGCTTGTGTGAAAGGTCTGGCGTTTTCTTTACCGCCGCACAGCTACAGCATAAAAACCGCCTTCACAGCTAGAAGATTGGAAAAATAATCAAAATTGATCATTTAACCCCACTGCACTCATTAAAACCAGAGGCAAAGATGGAGATCATTGATCCTTCACAGTCACAGTTTCAGTCAGTCAACTCTGCAAGGGACCACATTTTAAACCAAAACGAAAGAAAAGTAATGCAGCAAAGACAGAGTCGGACTCGAAGTCGGACAGATGGTATAAATCCCATGGAACGTCATGTGGTAAAAGACTCGACAACCACCTCTGCTTGAATTACTGCTTCCCGTCCACATGAAACATACACGACGACAAGATGGATGCTGATACTCCTCTCCCTGGACATGAATTGACAGCATCAAAATTCAGGCCAAACGGCTGCCTCCAGTCTTATATTCACTATTGTACGGCAGCGTGCGATTATGATTTCTCCTTGGTATCGCAAGGCAATCAGGAAAAGGGGGAGTGCGCTGTGCTGTGGCCCATACAGCTGCTAGATTCTTGCTCATTTGGGAGTGTATGGCATTCTCTCAGAATGGTAATTATGAAGGGAACAAAAGGGACATTTAGAAACAAAGGCGGGTTTGGAGTGAATAGGCCAGCTCCCATGTGCGGCGAGTGGTCTGACTCCAAGTGCTGTTTCAAGAGAGACGATATGAGGTAATTATGCAGGAGAACTTGCAGGGTGGGTGGGTGGTGGGGGGGGGGAGAGACAGGAGAGGGGCACAGAGAGGGAGGTAGGCTGGAGTTGGCTTAGTGTCTACATAGAGCGGGGGACCACATAGCACCATCTGCATTCTGCACGGGCACTGACCGTCTGGCTCGCCGTTTGCCTTCAATAAAAGCTGGCGCCGAAACAGACAGCATGCAGCAGAAATGCACTCAGATGTACAGTACAGACACGCACAGACTGGCCCTCGCGCAAACACATGCTGGGGATTTAAAAATTCACCAAAGACAAATCCTGTGGCTACGACTTTTCACCCCAGTCTACTGCAAGATGGTGTCACAGTGGACCGATGCCCAAAATCCTGTGTGCCACATATGTTCCTCGCTACAATACATACACTTACGTATTAGTGGCAGTTTCTCTCTAATAAAAGCCATTAATTCCCATCAATTTCCCCCCATTAGATCGTTCGATTCACACACGAATATGTAAATAAGCAGTTTAGATATTTATAAAGCTGAAGCTCAGATGACCAGTGCGCCATGATTCGGTAAAACTGAGGCACTCGCACACCGGTAGATCAATAATACAATAACAGACAATAATACAAATATATTGATATTAAGAACAAGCTACAGCGTCTGCTGTAATAGCTTTAAGCACAGGGTTTCGTTGATTGCTCTTGCTTCACTCCCACTAACACGATTCCCTGGAGTGTGTATCCAGCCCCACCAGTAAGAATCAGTGAAATAACCTCATCAGACACGTCAATCCCACGATGGGTTTCCGTGTACTGGGGACGGCACGGTGTGCAAATTTCTCCCACTGGGTAATAAACCCCAGACATTTAACAAGAAAAGACGTGTCGGCTGTGTATTAGAAGTGTTACCTCCAGACGCCGCAGCCGTCATCAGACAGAGATTGCAGATTGACTCATTGATGTTATCGGGTTCCCTTTTGGCAAATAGGTGCTTTTGCTTTTCGCTTCGACGCCACTGACTTTTCTGGTCGACTCTCCTCTGTGCTACTCTGAGTCTGCTCTGCTGATGCACAGAGCACACACTTTCAATTTATAATTGCAGCGTCTATTTTACTAATTGGAGTTGCAAATGCAAAAACCGAACCAAATGGGTTTTTATGCAGCCGGTGGATTATGTAATCTGTGTGTCCCTGAACACCTGTAACACCAACTACCGCATGGTCCGAAATTACACCATACAAGTAAATACCAATAAACATGTAATCAATTGGCTTACCTCTCTGATCTTGTCGCGTTTCTCTTTGACGTCAGGCTCCGGCGGCTCTCCATCGCTGACGCCCACCACTTTGGGCATGGGGACGGGTGGTAAGGGTTTAGGCCCCGTATCCTTCTTTTTCATGTCCTCCATCACTTTGTTCTTCTCCGTCTGAATCTCAGCCTGCAGCTCCTCGCGTGACTTTCTTAGCTTCTCCTTCGCCTCCTGCAGCGCTCGCTCATGGTCCGCCCGAATCTTGTCCCGCAGGCTCTCCTCCTCCTCCCTGTAGGAGGCAGGGAAAAAGGCAGGGGGTGAGATTCATTTTTTTACTCTTTACTCTTTCTTTGGATCACTATTAGATTCCACTGGTCTTCCCATGGAGCCCATATAAAGAGCAATCTTAACCAAAGGTAACACAAAAAAAAGCAGAGAGGTTTGGAGGATAAAGGTGTGCAGAGGGATTTCTATTATTAAATTAATTAAAGATGAACTGTGAGAACAAACACTGACCCTTTGGGAGACAGATATTCCACCGTGTCGGAGATGAAAACAAAGAAGAGTTTTTTTTCTTTTTTTTGAGGACATACATATTTGAAGACATCACCTTGGGCTCTGCCACATTATGGAGGGCACTCTCACAGCTGTTTAACATCTATTCAAAAAATAACAGAGGTACAAAATAAATAAAGCTGGAGAACTGATAATATTTTCCATCCTTTGGCCCGTACACAGATTTCAAGCTTGTTGTCTCTGCTTGGCCTTGTAGCTCTAACTTGACACTCTTTCCTTGTCAACTGCTTGTTTCTCTGCTCCACTCGAGGACGGCAGGCATGCGACACACCAATCTGACAGACGTAGTAGTCGGGGGAAACAGCAGCGAGGGAGCGAGAGTGATAAACGCGTCATGTCAAGCCAAAGCGTAGGACTTAACAGGCGTTGCTGTTTTGACGCATATCATACGTTCTTGGCTACACGGCCCGGAGAAGTGAGCCGCTCGCGTCCCGGAGAAATCAATACATTTACAAGCCGGGCTTCACCAGACAACCGCTGTGCCAAACGACAAGCTCACCTTCTGTTGCTCAGTTAAACAGTGACATTTCAACCTGAACCCAACCCCCCCCCCCCCCCCCCCCCCCCCCCCCCCCCGCTACATCAGCTCTATGAAATGGCACGGGTGTAGAGGAACTCACTGTGGAGGCAAACCACAGTGAGAATGAGAAACATCATCTGTAGTTTCACTTGGTGGTACAGGCCCCAGGGTGTTGATGCAACTCTACCCCATGAGGATGTGGGTCAGCAGTGAAAAACAAACACAGCAGGGCGATGGAGCAAAGGTGACAGGAGGACAATGACACTGTGCTCTTCTTCTGCTCTTACGAAAAAGGAAGAAAAACTTTTTGGAATGGCAGTTTTACTGTGTGTTTGAGCGCCACATGTACAGGTCACACCGTGTGTATTTATTGGATTCAGATGACTGGTGCATTGTGGGAGGAAGGACACGGATATAAACACGGTTTTATTTGTATTTTTTACTTAGCAGCAAGGTGAGGACGTTTCCGCTTTAAATACATTTTAATGAACAACTGTCATATCTTCATACCTGAATAAGTGGGGTATACAACTGACCTGTTGTGTAGCTTCAGTTGTCATGGTAAATCACTTCAGTTAAAATGTGTTCGACTTGTGAGTCGCTGGGTTCAATTAATATGAGAAAATCTTTAAAACAACAGCGTGTGTCATTCAAGAGCAAAAAACGTGAGTCTGTTTTATTAATGACCCTCAGTGAGAGAAACACAGGAAACGTGGGAGGAACCGATGACCTGCTGTGATCCGTGTGGAATCAGCTGCAAGCCTCCACAGCCCCGCAACATCTCCGGGAAAACAATACTCAGAATGAATGTGTGTGTGTGTGTGTGTGTGAACATCTTCCTGTAGATTAGTCTGTAGCTATGAGACTGAAAAAGACGGTATTTTTTTTTGCCTTTAGTGCCGCAACTGCTGCGACTATTCTACAACTAAAACTATTCCTTCTGCTAAGAGGAAGACGCGGTGAACGATGTTCAGACTGACATCATCATAAACACGGTTTAACACGGTCGTCTGCCTCCGCCGCTCAGACTAGTTTCAGGTTGCATCACCTGTTTATCCAGAATCATATAAAATATGAACCATTTGTGTGACATTTTGTGCGAGTTGACGCTGTGTATTTTGTGGTGATGATTATCAACATGTATCGTCCGTATCGAATAAAGAAATAATATAAAGAAAGTTTCATTCGGTCAGTTTGAATGGTCAGTTTCGCTTTCTGCATCTTTAACAGATTTTCTCTTCTTCCTCCTCGCTTGTTTGGCCGGTCGACAATTGCTGCGTTTGAGATGCCTGAGGATGTGAATCCCTGTCCTCCTCCAAGAGAACGGCAACGCAGGTTGTCAGGAGTAAGAATGCAACATGATCCAGGTATTAAAGAAGAAAAAGAAAAAAGAAAAAATGGATGCCTTAGTGGGTGCGTACTTTGAATATTTAGACCCGAGAAAGAAATACAGAGTAAATTTAAGAACAATTTGTTGTGCACGTGTCTTAGTGTGGTGTCTGTGGACCAAACAGAGATTCTCCAAACGGCTCATTCAGAGTTATTTATTTATTAACCCCTACACGTGATATTTTATCATCCCTCTCTAAAGCCTGAGTATATTCTTGTTTTTATCTGGACTTTTTTTTCTCCTCCTCCATACAGCAGCAATTTCAGATCATTAAGATTTATATATTTTGCCCTCTGCTCAGGTGTTTGACATGTGCACGTGTACATGCACGCACGCACGGCACGTGACTAAAAATCACAGGAAAAAAAAAAGGAAAGGAAGGAGGGAGAAGCAGGAGCAGAGCGAGGTGTGAGTCAGCCTACATTACAGCAGATGTCTTTATTGTAGACCTTGGTTGATACGACTGTGAGGTAGAACCACCAGCCAACTTCAGAAAAACAGGAAGACCCATCAGGCCACTGAACAGAGGAACCATGAGAGAGAGGGAAAGTGTTTGTTGGAGGAACAGTGGCACACGACTCACATGATTAAACCTGTTGCCTTCAGACGGCTGTAAAGGGAGTTTATCGACTGAAAGTAAAGGTCTGTTGTGGATGAGCGATGGTACTGAGAAATCTGCTCTGGCTTCCTGGTATCACTGCTGAAATGATAACAGGATCGTTAATAATAATTTAAATGAAACAGACAAGGAAAGCAAAAACATAAAAGGATTTTGTAAGTCTGAAAATGTTTGTGACGACGGGTAGCTTCTCATTTGTCTTAAATGTTTCCTCTATGTGTCTCGCAATTTGTAGAAATTATTTAGAAAAAGGAAAAGATATCGGAATTGAGGAAATACATTTTTTAGAGAAATGACGCTTCCTTTTGTCGAACCCGTCATCTGAAGCAACCGCAGTTTCAAATGACGATGGCACAGCTGGATCAGCTGTCAGTCTGCAGGTGTTGACAGCTCTGTGAGCCTCGGAGTTTGTATTTGCACAGATAATGTGATTTACTGTCCAAACTTTAATAATACCAGCGCATCAGAGTAGTGACAGACTCCGACATGACAGAAGAGAGTGCAAAAACACTTTGACAAGTATCATCACATTCAATAAAAAACCTGCACTTTGTATTTATATTGTAAACAGATTCGTTCTCGTGCACCGAAGGCTCATGAGCCAAAAAGGCTCCAAATTTTTTTAAATTTTAAATTATTTGCATCTGTATTTGTTGATATTCTGTTTATAAATTCATAATGTAATTATTCAGGTTATGACGAGAAGATCTCGTCATTTGTAGAAATGATCTAGACTGTTAAAATGATCTTAACTGTTATTTGATCAAAATGTTTTTACTGCTGAAAGATGAGATATGAGATCGTCTATGATACAGGTTAAAACGGGAAATTGAATAAAATGCTTTCTGTCTCCTTTATTAATAACACCTACAGTTAATCTGAATCTGAACACATATAAAATCTGTTGTTGTATAAAATCATTCAGATCAAACTTGAGAAACGTAGATTCTCTCTCATGAGTTTAATAAAGACATTCAAAGCAACCTGGAACTGAACTTTATTTGTATCCTGTTAGTTACTCATTTATTTTCATTTACTTAGTTATGATTTGTTATTTACTTATTACTATTATCATTATCGTCTTTATTTTGTTTTTGTTGTCGTCTTTTTTTCTGTTGGTTGTTTGTTTTTGTTTTCTCTCCCCTCCCTTGGTGATGGGGGGATAAGGGTTTGGAAATGTGAGGGAAAAAAAAAAAGATTTTGTTCTTTGTAATTAAAAATGTTTCAGGTCAACTGCAAAACAACAAACAAACAAAAAAACTCTAACAAAGCGTTGTGTCTGTCCAATGAAAGACTTCTGCTGAGGACGGTCTCGTGTAACCTCCTCCAGGCCGCCTCCCCCTTCCTCCAAACACTAACAAGGGAACCGACACGTCCTTCATGATGGCGAACCAGGACGACTTCCCGGTGACCCGAGGAGCGAGGACACGCGAAATAAAGTAATGAGAAGCATCAGTGGTTGCACCACACTCCCAGCCCACGGCTGACACACTCCAAGCGGGCGAACTGGGACAACAAACATTCATTCATTCATTCTTCCCACTAAGGTGCAAAGTGAGTCACCAAACTAACGAAGAGGCGCAGAGGAGGGAAAAAAAAAAAAAAGCCACTTAGCTTTGCTCCTGCCAAGTGGCAAAACATCTGCAACTCAGACAGACCCCAACAAGAGAGTATAGAAGTCTGCAAAGTCTGTCTGCTGTGACAGTGACTGTGTGTCTGAATTTTACAGAAAAGAGAATATAATGGAGTAAAGGCACAAGAGGACACATTGCAAAGAGAGGAATCGAGGCAGTAAAGAGAAAAATATGTGTAAAGAAAGAGGGAAGATTATGTGGGACAAAGAACTGGCTATGAGACGAAGAGGGCCGCAAAAGACTGTGTGATCAGCATCGATCAACCATCCATTTTCTATTCCCGCTTTCCCTCTTCAGGTTCAGTTGGGGTTCCAAGTCTTTCCCAGCATGCACTGAGCAAGAGACAGGGTAAACCGAGGCCATCTCACGCATTGTTGCAGCGCATAAGAAGGAGCGAAAAACAACGTGTAGGATGGAATAAAATGTGACAGAACGCGACGAAATAAAGAACTGAAACTGTGACACAATGCCAGAAAGACGGGAGAAACGAATGTGCAAGACAAACAGGAAAGAGACAGATGTTTTCCACTAATCATCCTTCACACCACAC